ATGGATCCAACCACAGCGTTTCTTTCTCAATTCAAAGTAACCGTTTTTCATTTTCTAGATGATGAATGTTTGGATTAGCCCATTCGGTATTTCACAGAAACCAGACACTGTTGATGATGTTGTGTGTGGGTTTCACTGTTGACGAGTCCCAAACAGGAAGAAACAGCTGTCCAGCGCTCTTTGTCGGTTATCACAAACAATCCCACCGCAATTAACTGGCCGTTTCTCAGTTCCAAGTGATGGATTCTCAATTCAAAAGGACGGTTTCGCAAATGGAACTGATAGTTTCTTAAATTAATCTTAAATTGGTGTACGATACGAACGCTAAGCTTTAGGGAGAGAGTTGAAGTAGAACAAACACAATATAGGTGGACTGAATGTAGGTGGTCCAGTACTTAGAAAGGGAGCTGACTCGGTGTCTCTGCAACCTGGAAGTTCAGAGAGCGTGGCACTCAACGGCTACTGGCTCACACCCCTATGTAACCTCTGCTTATTTTTTTCCCAACCGATTTTGTTCGTTCGTATCTGATAATCTAGTCCGTTCTTCCAAATATCTCCCATCCCGCGTCCCGTTCACAAAATCTTCCCCTGTTTTCCGGCGGCTGGACAACACGAACAGCACGGTGTGATCAATGTGTGTTTCGATTTGATCACCACTGTGTATGGACCAATTGTTGCATCGGGGGCCAGAACCATGCGCATTTCCTGTTCTTTCTGGTCTCATTGCTGATTATGGTACTGAATGCCACATGGTTGAGCTTTCGTGTTCTACACTCGTACACGGTGGTAAGTTGAAGCCCATGATCGAACGAGGCGACCTCTCTCTCTCTCTTTCGTTGTGTCTGGGTTATGTGAATTATTCGGATTGTATATGGATAATGATAGAAGAATCGAGAACGTATTTGGTTAGTCGATTCACAGAGAGAATTTCGGTTTCACCAGTAATATAAATTGATCCCACCCCCGTGGCATCCGATTTTCGTAGAACTTCCAAGCGATAGAATGAGAAAACTCGTTGCCATGCGTCTCCAAATATTTCGCGACGTAGGAAGCGAGGAAGTTGCCCGCAGGATGATAAGATGCCCCGGAGTGTAACCGTATCTTTCTAAACAGTCAAAGCTTTGAAAACTCGTAACTCATAGGTAGTCGGAACGTGACGAACTCTCCGTCGGTGTGAGAAAATCCCACGACCGAAATGACTCCCCCCCCGCCTCGTTCAGTTGAGCGTACGTATGTAATATAATGATCCAATTTTGTTGTTCACAATAGATCCGGCGATGATTCCTCTTTCACTTGATAGACAAGACGAGTCAGTAGCGGCCAAATGCTCCACTTGCTATTTTTATCCTATCAGTGATCACACGAAGTGTGCTCGAACCGTGTATCTCCTTGCTACTCACGAAGGTCATGTATCGATTAAACTGTGGATGGCTTGATCAATCAATGCAACTACGCCCTGATAGTATATCTAATGAAGAAACTGACCCCTGAGACCCTCGGTTTAATTTCGACTAAATGAGTTACTTAAGGTGTGGGAATGCACCGAGTGATACAGATCATCCCGTGTACATACGGTTATGTGCAGAACCATCCAATTAGGGAAATCTTTTTCGTGGACGATGGGCTTCATTGTCTCATCACCCATGGAATACCAGTTGTTGCAAAGCCTTAAATAACCCGAGTATGAAACGTGCTAATAATTTAAGACCCTCCTGTTGATACTAGTACAACATAGGCTCCAACATGTAATACTTTAGTAGCGATCACCGTTGCATCATGTTAAGGCGCACGAGATTAAATATAATAGAGTTCCTAATGGACTTCGGAGAATGAAAACAAGAAGAACCTTGATTTCATCTAGGTTAAATTTTTATTATCCACATTTCGTGTGATAAACAGCAGATGGTGTGTGAAAACCTGGTGTTCAGTGATGGAAACCGGCTACCTCAGCCCCGGGACTTTGGGTGGTCAACCGAATAAGGCCCCGCTAGGTTAGGCGTGTTATTGAAGCCGACGACAGCCAAAGTTGGGTGATGGTGGCCGGGTTTGGATCTCGGACCATGGGGTCTAAAGCACACCAGTGACGGTGACTAAGCCAGCACCACCAGCAGTCAGTAGTCAAACTCCATTAGTCAAAAGTTAATTTCTATCAACGATCCCCTCTCCACAGAAAACTTCAGATCCGTATTGGGTTCAACCTTTCAGATTTGTAAGCATCAGAATGTCATCACACCGTAAGTGTTTACCCACTCTACTCTTAGGTCCCCTGTTTTGATATATTGCGGCTAATTCTGTATAACGTGTCAGAGCTCAGTGAATTATCGATTTTTTCCATATCCTGACTTCAGTGGCTTTGATGGATATCAGGGATGCTACCCGATATGTTTTCACTGTTTATGAAACACCCTTGACAAACACCCACATATATCAATATATACCGTGTAATCTTACAGATCTAGGACAATCGGCCACACTCGCACCGTTCTCATGGGGTAGCTCATCCACGCTTTTTATGGTCGCGGAATGCCACTCGATACCACCCGACGAAACGGCCCAATGCGGTTCACGGTTCTAAACGGTTTCTGTGACCGCTCGTTTCCAGTGGTGTTCCAAGTTGAAACGACAAAAACGAGTTAAGTTCGCTGCTGGGTTTCCAATGCCAAGTCTTCCTCGATGTCGAACCAGACTGTCTTACTGGAAAACATGCGTTTGTGCATCACCTAGGCATATCGCAGTTTTGAGCCTGAAAAATTTCTACCATCTGACGCCACATATCTGCACATGATTGACTCGTCAAGTCCTCAGTAGGACTACTGATCGCTAATGTAGTCTTCGTTTTATATCACGCTTCTCGGTTATAATATTCTCTTATTACGACTTGTTCAGTAGTTTTTTTAACTACAGTACTTATTCTTCCACTAATTCGGGCTTTATTTTTGCATTCTGATTCATCTATTTCTTGTCGGTCTGTCCACCACTACCCAAGTGGGAACTGTAGTGCGTGTCATGTGATTTTTTGCTTTAGTGGCTAACGTGTTGGTCAATCGATTTTGACAACATCCTCAGCGAAACTCATTCTATTTTTTTCTTGTTGTTTTTCTACAGCGTGAGAGGCTCTGGTACGCACAGTACATTGGTGCGGATGATCAAATCTATCCCATGGACTGGCCAACACTGATCCAGGTGTCTTTTCTTTGAATTTCTGTATATTGTTTCTGATTGCCGTTTTCCTTGTCACTGTCTAATTTTGTGTTATATCGGGTGCAAACAGAATAGCATGTTCTGTTCGGGTTATAACCGGTCAAACGGCAGAGTACATGCAATGCATGACAGCAAAGCAAGTATCGCTCATATGCACAGTTCATATTTAAGGCATAGTTTGCTTGATAAAATTTTGTGGATTTAAGTGGATTATAGGACGAAGTCATCGTGTAGGTAGGCGAAGCGTGAGCTGAAAAGACGGGAAGCACTGGACGGTTGTTCCGTCATGGTTGCTTCCCATCAACAGTGCGAATTCATCAACCTAACTGGGGATTGGACCAGAAGCCTCACAGGTAGAAAGCAATCATACCATCACGGACCAACGACCACAGTATACGTTGACCGGGAAGCCCCAATGGATTAGTTTCTTCACAAAGGAGTGCCTCTGAAGTGTGTAAGCATATCGAAGTCATCGTACTCGCATGCTTCTGGTAGTGTTAGGGTCCACGGAGCGGTAAACAGATCGTTGAAAACTAAAGGTGATGTTTGTCTAGGGAACCCTATTCCTCCATTCCTTGTTCAAACAAAATACCGAAGAACGCGCTAACTGGTCCCCAAAATGTTGGTATTGAATGCTCAGCTGGAAAAAAGTTATGCGATTTGGCGCATACTGACGATATCGTTTGCCTGTTCCAATGTCTGGAGGTCGCACTAGGTGCGCATAACAGACTTTCAAGTTCTGTGAGTTCATTTATATGCGCTTTGCACCTTTAAACTACAAAATAATGTTACAGCACTGGGTTTTGACCTAAATTTAAGTCGTCGTGTGTTTGGGAATACTTCGCTGTTTTATCAATGGGATTCGCTGGTAACAACACGGTTTGTGTATATCTAACTGTCGTCTACCACGTGGCCCCTATTTGCGGTTACCGCTCAGCAATGGAGAAAATTACGTGGAGGTCAACAGGCGACGGAAAGACGAGGTGTTCAGAAATCAAGGGAACCGCAAGACGTGGCAGAAAAGCGACAGTAGTACCGTCCTTGTTGTCATTTCTTATCAGACCAGAAAGCTTGAGAGGGCGTGTATGCGGACTCGGATTGTTTTTATTCTCTATTGGCCATAGAGGTTCGCTTTCTTTCAACCTGCCTCGAAAAATTTGTAATCCCTGTCCACCGTAAACATTCTCACTTACATTTTGCGCATTGCGAATCTAGCACCTATCAGTAACGTTCACCAACACCACGAGCTTTGCTGTCGTCCGGTTAAATACTACACCTAACCTAGCGAGGCCTTATGTGGTTCACCACTCCAAGCCCCGAGGCTTAGGTTGCCGGTTACCATCACTAAACAGCAGGTCCTCGTGACTACGGGGTTCGCCCCGTCTGCTGTTCATCACGCGAAAGTGTGTA